CATATTCCCCTAAGCAAGTTCCGAGTCACCCCTATTGCAAGAGAAAGTAGAAGCATCGGGGACCCTTGTCAGTCGGTGCCTTCCACCCAACCCACTCGGGAGGCATGCCTACCTCCACATCGGAGCCTGGCTTGGCTGATGTGGTTTACCCCACACCTCTCAGTGCTACTTCATCCTTCACCTACTCCATACTGCATCCTTGAGCCAGTAGAGAAGTGCTTTCCGAGTGTATAAAATGTCGCCCCTTAGGCATCTGTTAGTCCTTTCCCTACTCCGTTTCTTGTTAAATGATTTCATTTATGTCATTTCTTTAGTTATATATTATTATAAGGAAATGATTGGCAAGATTTTATCTGTAGTTCAGAGTTTGATCTGGTCCCTACTTGTGAAATTTGCTCTGGGAAGTCTCACAAAGTACTCATCAGTATCAGTGTCACCTGTGCCACCTCCATCTCCTTTAGCCTGCAGTTTGCAGACATCATATCCATTCTGTTATCATCCCACTAACTTCCTCCACTTAATTACTTACTGACCCCATTGCCTTCTGCCTCTACTCACATGGCCCTTAGTCTAAGACTACACTCTCTCCTGTTATGATCATTACAACAGCCTCATAATCAGCTTCCTCAGTTCTAATCGTATCCTCTAGCCCGCAGTTTAGCCTGCAGAAAGAAAGATCTTTCTGAAATCCAGGCATGATCACTCAAGGCCTTGTAGTCACCTCCCATTAGCTTTATGGTACAGAACATATTTTCTATGGCCTCCGACTTCACCTGGCTCTCTTTCCTCTTCAGCAGCTTCACGTGCGTGAGCTACTCTCTGTGTTCCTGTGTATAATTGCCTGTGTGCACATGTCATTCTTCCATCATCAACCACATCCCCAACTCTATTCAGTATATATTTATGAATTCTTAGTTCTTAGCACACAGAGCACTTTTCTAAAGGAAATTTTCTGCCTTGTCTTTCCTCATCCCAAACAATATTAGGACTATGTAACGTAAGATCTCATTTTGATCTGTATGCTTCTGTTCTAGAGCTTGTTATTGTCTGCCATTTCTTTTTTTTTTTTTTTTTTTTTGGCATCAATGTTTGGTTGAAATCTGCCACTTTATAACAATGTAACTATTATGAAAAGGTCACTTGTTATTTTTTTTTACCCATAATACCTAGTGTCTGGAGAACATGATGTATTATGTTAGTAAGTATTTGTTAGATGAATAAATGTACATAAGCAAAATTAATTATTTTAATAATTTTAATGTTAAGTACTTGTCACTTCTATTTTATGTAATTAAAAAAATGAGCGTTCAGAGTTATGTAACATGCCTGGCACTGCACAGGTTAAGTAACATAGATCTAGGGTTTATTATCTAGTTTAGTATATTGGTTTGTTGAGATAAGAATATATTTTAAATAATTTAATTAATTAGATCAGGCATTTTGTTACAGTTTCACTGTAAATTAAATTAAAATTTTGTATACCAGTCATATTAATGCTTATTTTAAAACTGATAAAATAAAACAAAACACAAACACCTTACAGTTTAGACAAACTGAGCATGTATAGTTACTCTTTAAATATGTACTTTGGTTTTTAAATCTATGACATTTCATTATTCTTGTGAAGTGCTGTTAACATTAAAATAAAGATTAGCAATATAGTAAGGTATGAATTATGTGAAGAGTAATGAGAGCAGAAAGAGTTCTGTGAGCACCTAATTCTTTAGGTTATAGTATATAATAGTAGCTAATTTATATTAGTAGCTATAATAGTAGTTATAGTAGCTAATTTATTTATTCCTTGTCACATTCTCTTCTTGATCAGTTTTCTAGTTGCTATTTTTTATATTTTATTTTTTTATTTTTTGGTTTTTCAAGATGGTATTTCTCTGTGGAGGCCTTTCATCTACTTGTAGACCAGGCTGGCCTTGAACTCACAGAGTTCAACCTGCCTCTGCCACCCAAGTGCTGGGATTAAAGGTGTGTGCTACCACTGCCAGACTGCTAATTCATTTTTAAAAGATGTTCTTATTTAAAATATATTTATTTCAGGAACACCTTAAAATATTAATAAGGAGTAGTTATTAAGAAAACTCAAAATCTTACCTCAGTTCTTATAGTCTGTGTTCTGATCATAATCTGTTAGTTCCAGGCCTGCTAAGTATCCACTTTCTTACAAGTGATCAAAGTTCCTACATTTGTTCACTATTTTTCTTATATTGGTGTCAATGTTTCATAACATAATGGAGGGTGAAGGAAATAAAAAGATTTCTTCATTCATTAAAAGGAAATTTATTAAAATGAAATGACATCCCTCCCAAACTTATTGAACAGATTACTGATCCAGTTTTGAAAATGAGTCTTTGCATTATCCTGGACAGTAAATGGTTACTTAACTTCCTATTTGTCACCTCACCTTAAAAAAACAAATAAAAAGGAATTATAAAATCTACAAAAAATACATAAAGTAGTAGAGAATTGGTATACCTTCATAGTTAGCCAGGGCTCATTAAAAAGACTGATCTCAAAATCCTTTGCAGCTTACCCACAGGTGTGTTGCAGACTCCTTTCCTGCCATTTGAGAAACACCAATACATTACCCTCATCACTCACTTTGCTTGTGCCTTTGTGAACAATGACAAATGCTTACAATAGTTCATGTGATATGATTTTAATAGCACTTCTCACCAAATCCAGCAGCAGTGTGAACAGAATAAAACCTTACTGTAGTTTTAAAATGCAAGATAAATCTTAGCTTCAATTTTATTATCTGGAACTAATCCTTTGGTCAATTTACCCTTTGTCAACCCTTTTTCATAAACCTTGACAGTCTTCAGCTATCAGCATGGATCTAATAGGAAGAGTAAGTAAGAAAACCCTGCAGTTTCCCAGCTGTGGCCTGCAGAACCAAGCAACAGTAGTTTTCTCACTCTGTGCATGTACTGTCTAATGTAGTAGCCACCAGCCATGTGTGGCTATTCAATGCTTGGCTGGTAGTTGGTAGGACGGTAGCCAACCACTGTGGATTTAAATTTAAAATAACAGCCTCATTTATAGAAAATTTATATTTTTCATTCTCACAAGGGTTTACAACCATCACCCTTCCACAAAATATCCAAACTCAGTAGTTATTTCTCATTTCTTACCAACTTCTAGAGCACTAGGTAACCATTATATTTTCTGTCTCCTGGGATTTATCTATGTTGGGACATTTCATATGACTTAAATTACAAAATGTTATTTTTAGCTTATTTGTTATCATAAATTTACTAGCCATATGTGCCTAGTGACTACCACAAGATCAACTGAAGTGAAAAGACCAAAGCTGATAGTCAAGAAGGTATCAGTTTGGTGTAGTAATAGGGCAACAGAGGACAAAGGCTTGGCAATGTGGTATTGTGCACAGGTATAAGTAGGTTGTGTTTTTTATGCCACTGAGAAGCAGAGGGAAGGAAGAAAATTTCATGTTGTGTTGTGTTGATATCTTCAGTGGAGGCTTGTGGAGGCAGAAGAGACAGATTCTGTGGGATAGAAGAAGAGACAAAAGATGACTGAGCAAAGGAAATACTCAAAGGTGGCACAAAGGTCATCAGAGTGGGAGTAATACTCACCAGATTAGAGACAGGTCATCCTCCTCTACAGCAGGGCCTAGTGAAGAAAAAGCAGATGAGGGTGCAGAACAAAGCTCAGCGGGGAAGCAAGACACTCAGCGAGCTTGTTGAGAAAGAGCCGGTTGGGCAGTTGGAGAGTAGAGCTTGTTTCTCCAATTACACTAAGGTCACATTGCTGAAGACTGTGTGGAAAGGTCTCCCATTGGTGAAGCTGCCAATCCGAGTGTCTGTTTCTGTCCACCTGAGCTTATTCCTTGAGAGCAGTTGACCGTTTTATGTGCCTAAAGCCACATGAGACCAATAAAAACTGAAAGTCACCCAAAAGTTTACACCTGAGAGCAATGCAGCTCCAATGCCTTACCCTTCCTTTTCTTCCATTCCTCTTTTTCAAGCAGTGGGGAGAAGCTGAGTTGGAGTTATTGAAAATACTTTGAAATAGATTTTAAGCGTAAGAGTTAAGAGAAAGGAAGGCACTTTGGGAGAAACTGAAAGTTCGTTGTGTATTCTTCTCACTCTTTGTAAGTGTACTATTTGCCATACAAAGTTCTACAAAAAAGGAACTAAGAAAACACAAAATTTTGAAATATCAGAAATTAATCTGCAGTGTAATGAAAATAGGATTTTGTGTTATGAAGCATTAGTCTAGCAATTTCTTAAAATTTTTGTCACATTTTCCCCAATGTTTTACAAATTGGAAAAACTAGGAAGCAACTTGAAAGTCTTAAATGAAAAAAAAATGCAGTCATAAGATAAAAGATATGTACTAGGTTGCTATTGAATTGATGAATAGCATCACTTAAACATTTTCAACTTTGGACAGAGTGCAGGGAGTCTTATGGAAGAGTCAGGGGATAGAAGGACCAAGAAGGGACAAGGGGACCAATAAAGCCAACAAATTTGGGACTGGGGGTCCTGAGAAGACTGATGCACCAACCAAGGACCATGCATAGAGAGGACCTAGACCCCCTGCTTAGTGCAGCCATTAGGCAGTTCAGTCTCCATGTGGACCACTGAGTAGGTGGAACAGGGGCAGGCTCTGACATGGACTCTGCTGCCCACTCTTTGATCACTTCCTCTGGCAGGGCGGCTTTGCCAAGCCAAAGAGATAGAGGATACAGGCAGTTGTGAGGAGACTTGATAGGTTGGAATCAGATAGTAGGGGAGGAAGGCTCCCTCTTTTTGTGAACAAGGAGAGGGAGATAGGGGGGAAAAGGGAGGGAAGGTGGGTCCAAGAAGAGATGAGAGAGGGATCTACAATCAGGATATAAAGTGAATAAGTTATAAAAAATTTAGCTTTCAATATAGAATTATTAGAAATTAAAACTAATTTTCTGGTCTTGCCCATGTACAGACATACACTTATATATGTATTTGTTGTTTCTTTTTAAGGCTTTTAAAACCAAGGACGGCTATCTTGTAGTTGGAGCAGGAAATAACCAACAGTTTGCTGTTGTATGCAAGGTAATACATAATCACCATATGACAAGTTTCAATGTTCATTTTGTACAACCGAGGAAAAGTTCAGCTTTGCCTGATAGTGTCTCTCAGTCATAATTACTTGAGTTCCCATGTTAACACCAAAAAGCACACAGCTTGATGCTTACAAATGGTCAGACATAGGTCCGATAAACAAACATTCCCTTTTTTCCTTCCTTCCTCCCTCCCTCCCTCCCTCCCTCCTTCCTCCTTCCATTCTATCCTTCTTTTCCTCCCTTATTTTCAGTCTTTTTTTTCATTTTGTATGTATATGTATGTGTGCACCACAAGGTATATTTTTCCACTTCATGGGTTCTCGAGATTTTTTGTTGTTTGTTTGTTGTTTGTTGTTGTTGTTTTAAATGCACTATCTAGGTTGAAATGAGAAATTGTAAGTTAAATTTTTCTCAATCAAAATATTTTAATTTTAATTAAAGTATAATTACATCATTGTCCTCTTCCTCTTCCTCCCTCCAGCTCTTTTCATGTCTCCCTTTTCAATCTCTCTCAAATTGATTGCATCTTATACTTTGATTATTATCGTTTTATATATATATATGCAAATGCAAATATACGCAAATACATACATATGTAAATACTTTTCTCAATTTTAGAGAGATTTTCAGTCCTGTGACTTTCTCTTCTCCTCCCATCCATCTCTTTCCTCTATATCATATTTAATTAGGTTGAAGTATTTGCAAATTAATTTTATATTCTGCAAGAAATTTTAAGGTTTGTTTTTTTCAGTTACCTTTGTTTAATGAATAACTTTCTGTGGAACTCATGCTTAAATATGGCAGAAAATAGAGTTTTATTGGAAGTGCTTCTTCTAAGAAAAACCCGAGAAAGCCTTGAAATACTTGGACCAATTTAGGTTAGGAATATGCTAAATTTTCAGTATTGCCTAGATAGTTTTTAATGTTTTCACTTTTTATCTCAACTTTGGATCTTCTGTTTTAGGAAACTTTCAAAAATAAAATACAAAATTTTGACATTTTAAAAGTGTTGCTTCACTTTCAGTAGTTTTCTTCCAAGATATATAAGCTAATTAAAATATGTTTGTTTTAATTTTTTTAAGTTTCTTGCATATAGACAAGGGTTTCATCGATCAAAAACTTTTTCTGACTGAGAGATGACTCAATTTTTTTACCAGCTGCGTGACCATAAGCTTTCCATCTCATTAAAGACTCCTGAAGTTCTCAGAGGAATCGTTTTCATTATAGTAGTTAGCTCATTGTGTACAAGAATTATTTATTACGGTGCCTCTTTTGTGTGTGAGGTTAAGAAGCAGAGCTGAAAACCACAGCAAAGAGATGGGAAGTACTGTAGAAAAGGTGACAAGCGGAGACGGTTCTGATTCAGGGCATGCTGGTGCAGCCGAGGTGGAAAGGAGGGCGAAGCTTTTATAAGAGTGACCCAGGGAGTGTAAAGAAAATTGATTCCAACATTTGATCTGGGATCAAAGGATCTTTATTATGAATGGTCAGCTTTAAAAATACGAAACATACGGAAACCGTTGACTGCGAAGTCGTTCGCATACTCAACTGCAGAGATGGAAACTTCAGCTCTGTACTCTAAACAAGTACAGATTTGCTTCCTGCGCCATATGTTTAAAGCCTCTCCCTCTCCAAATTGATATGTTCTTCATTTTTTTAAAATGATTCATTACTGCTGATTACTTTGAAATGCTTAAACTTCTTCATAGGTATCCCTAAGAACGCTTTTTGGAAAAGACTTATTTCAAAGCAGAATGTTTGCTGCACATTTTAGCACTAAGTATGACTTACTGCTATGATACACTTGCACATTGCTTCAAAAGAGAGACTGGCATAGGCCCTTAGATAATGGCATACTTGACTTTGACTTTCCCACATATGAGGTAGGAGTGATGATCTCTGCTAGGAGCCATCAAGGCAGTGCCTGTAAAAACTCCAAGACTCCTGAGGGGGAAGCAGCATTACCAGGCCACAGAAGAAGACAATGCAGCCACTTCTGATGAGACCTAATTGAGTAAGATCAGAAGGAAGGAAAAGAAGACCTCCCCTATCAGTGGACTTGGGGAGGGGCATGCATGCAGAGGGTGGAGGAAGGGAGAGATTGGGATGGGAGGAGGGAGGGAATCACGGGGGGATACAAAGTAAATAAAGTGTAATTAATAAAGAATTAAAAAAAAAAAACTCCAAGGCCTCAGAGGAAGTGTTCTGTGTGGATTGTTTCAGTGTTATTTAGGTCATTTTCTGGGTTTGCTGACTGAGCACTGCAGTTTGATTGACTTTCTCAATCTTTGTAATTACATCATCACATGTAAGCTTGTACTACACTTATTTTAACCCAAGCTAAAAACAAACAAACAACTTTCGTATTTCTGCTTGGATACAAAATTCTCTTTTCTTACTAGTAATCCATAAATTTCTAATTAAGTTTCATTTACACTTACCTGTGAGGGATGGATTCATGCAAACTGGCCTCACAGAAGTGAGCCCAAGTCAGATTCTTTTGAAAAGCCAGAACAACTCTGCCTCCTAGAGAGGGAGGTGACAGCTGTCAGTGATGAATGGATGGGATTTGCTTAAATCCCCTCTTTCCGAAGTAGAATTTGATATACTGGTGGATTAACACATATGGAGGAGGGGTCCTATCAGGAAGTGCTTGTTTTCAGGGGCCAGAGCCAGAGCAAAAATTCAGAGCAAGAGGTCAAAAATATACTGCTGTATATAAACTGAACCTTGGTTTATGACAATTTCTATTTTAGGTCCTTTAACATGATGCAGAAGAGCAGTGAAAGTGAGCATATGTAAGCTATTTTAAGCTGATTGATGCCAACATTTATGGCTATTTCTATTTGAAGTCTATTGACATCCCCTTTAAAGTCATTTAGACTGATGGTTTCCCTCACTGGGTACTGAATGCATTGGTTTTCAGTTTCAATATGTATAGAATCTTTGATAGTAACATTCTTAAAGATTTGACTTTGGTGTGTTTGAGGTAGGGTGCAGGAAATTTCATCTTTAATAAATGCTGTACTTGATTCAGGTGCAGGTGGCCTGGGGACATTATAGTATGATTCATAAGGGCTTTATGAGTCTTGCTTCTAGTCAGGTAACCACTGGTAAAGTACTTAATCTTTTCTAAGCATCTGTTTCCTTCTGCATAAAATGTAGGTTATAATGTACAGCTACACCAACATAGAGACTATGGAGATCATAAGGGTTAGTTACAGAAGCAGAACACAGCATACTCCTGGCTTACAGGAGGCACTTAGTACCTGGCCCCTAAAGAATTGGGTGAGACAGTTCTGATTTTAGAAAAGAGCCAGATGGCAAACTTCCCTCTGCCCCTGTAACAGAGCCTTGTGGAAAGACCTGGGCACAACAGAGGGGAATTCTGCTTGAAGATTCTATGATCTTCTATGTATCTTGAAGATTCTCTGTAATCAACAGGGGCATTAAAAAACATTAGAATCTAAAGTTCTTGTAAACTAGTAGCAGATCAGCCAGGTTTTTTTGTCTAGTTATTCTGTTATCTCAATTCAGTGGAGCCTGAAGCATAAGGGTGGATACCAGGAAGGGGTGATGAGCTCCATAATTGCTCTTTATTTCTGTACAAAAAGAATTAAAAGTGAGCTGTGGTCTCTATATATAGAGAGCCTTATTTTTTTCCCCTCTGTACTTTCTTCTGTGTTAGCCACAGACCAATCCCAGCAGTACGGAGGGACAGAAACCTCATCTAAAGAAAAGAAACTTTTCTTCATAGCTCAGGTCACTCAAACAACAGTGTGAATCTGGGTTGCTGCTACCCTGTGTTTGGCCATTTGGCTTCTAACCTAAAAGTACACGGAAAGTGGGCTAAGCAAAGAAAAAGACTGCAGAGAAAAAGACTGCAAAGGGGGGAAATGTTTTCCAAGCAATTCTTAAAGTTATTTGTGAGTTTCTGAGCTTACATTTGTGCTGCATATACACTGATCTGATTAAATTACTGGACCCGAAATGCTGAGAGCAGAATCAACATGTCTACGCCCTTGTGCCCAGCTTATAGTGTGACTATTAAGTGGTGCACATGCGAGACAGATTCTAATGTCACTGAAAAGGCTTGCGAATTGAAAACATTAGATTTAAAATATGTGGAAAACGTGGTGAAACTTTCAGCTTAGAACCAAGCAGCTCAAGTCTAAAAACAGTAGCATTTAGATGTCTCTGTAGTGTTTACACAAGACTCAGCAGGTTTTTTTAATTATTTTTATTTATGTGTATGTGTGTATAGTTTCTTGTCTGTTAAGTGCATCATCTGCATGCAGGTGCCTGAAGAGGCCAGAAGAGGGCGTCAGAACTTCTTGAATTGGACTTGGTGTGGTTGTGAGCCCTTTGATGCTCATACTGGGAACAAAGCCCAGGCCTTCTGCAAGATGACAAGAAGTAGGAAACAGTAAGATCTGGAGAGGACAGGAACTCCACAACAGAACCAAAAAATCTTAGCACAGGGGTTTTTCCTGAGACTGGTATTCCAACGAAGGACTGTGCATAGAGATAACCTAAGACCCCTGCACAGATGTAGCTCATGGCAGTTCAGTATCCAAGTGGGTTCCATTGTAATAGGAACAGAGACTGTCTCTGACATGAACTGATTGGCCTGGTCTTTAATTACCTCCCCCTGAGGGGGAAACAGCATTACCAGACCACAGAAGAAGACAATGCAGCCACTTCTGATGAGACCTAATTGAGTAGGATCAGAAGGAAGGAAAAGAAGACCTCCCCTATCAGTGGACTTGGGGAGGGGCATGCATGCAGAGGGTGGAGGAAGGGAGGGATTGGGACGGGAGGAGAGAGGGAACCACGGGGGGGATACAAAGTGAATAAAGTATAATTAATAAAGAATAAAAAAAAGAATGAAAAAAAAAAGATGACAAGCACTCTTAACCTCTGAGCCATCTCCAGCCCTAACTCAGAAGTTCTTAGTATGTTTAAAATGTCTGGGATATTATTCAGATT